AGCGACACATACATCCCCAACCTGAGATCTGACAGTAAACAGAAAACGTCTCCTTCAACAGGTAAGGAAGGCCCTCACCTTCTGCCATCACGTCCATCCACTCCTTCCCAGTCTCCTCCCTCCAACACACACACACACACACACACACACACACACACACACACACACACACACACACACACTCCGAGCCTCAGGAAGTGACAGTGACCAGTCACTGAGATTTTGCCTCTGGTTGTCCCATAAAACTGGGCTGACCAGGGGTGGGACAGGACTCCCGCTGGCCAGGCCTCCCCAGGGGGCCCCCTCTGCATATGTGAGTCCTACACACAGCCACAGCCTGGGGGCCGGAAGCACCCACAGAGTTCGCCCCCACTCTGGACAGACCAAGTCCTATTCTCCCACATGCCTAGGGCAGGGACTGACCCTATTATAGGCTTGAGAAGATGAACTCCCAAGAACATCAAAGACCCCAGGAAGTATTCCCCGACTACAAAAAGAATCCTGCAATACTGGCAAACCAAGTCCCACTGCTACAGTGTTTTTGAGAAGGCTCCCACCAGCAGGGGACCAGGAGAAACCTGAGTTGGGGGTACCCCATCCGTGTTGGAACGCCAGGTCTGACCGTAAGCCCCACGTGCTGACAAGCAGCTCTGAGAGTTGAGATCTTCACAAACAAAATGCGGATCTTTGCCAAGATCATAACGATCCTGGGAAGAGAGGTGAACACGCCTGCATTTTCCAGCATACTGTGCTGAGTGGTGACACAACTTGCCAACCCCACCAGGAGCCTGTGCCTGTCCGCTCTCCAGAGCCCTGCTGAGACCCACGCCCTGCCCCTAAGCAGGGCCCTCCAGCAAGAGCACAGCTCCACAGGGACCCACCCTGGCTGGGAACCCCTGGACGTACATGCAGGCTCGCTCAGTCTGGACACATGGGTGACACAGCTGTCTCACCCTGTTTGCAAATCGACTCTGAGCAGGCCTGGCAGCCTGGGTGGGGCGGAAGGTGGAGAACCCTAAGGCAACAGAAAACCAAACTCCCTGGGAGAAGTTGAGGGATTGTCCCCTGCGTGACTCCAGACCACTAGAGACTCTTAAAACCAAAAAGAAGAGGACTGGGCTGGACAGTCTCTCTAGTCCTACTCAGGAAGCCACACAAGGATTTAGAGATTCTCAGGAGAAAAGAACACAGGCGTAATGGACACCTGGCATTTACTATAGGCGGCTGAGAGTGGCTCCCATGGGCTTGGCCTCCCAGGCACGACCCCCCCTACCCCCGAAGGCTCAGGAATGAGCAAGAGTCCAGCGGGGGCCCCTCCTCCCCTCCAGAGGGCTGGCTAAAGCTCCTCGCCGCCACCCCCATCTCAGCCTCCTGGCTGCTTCTCACCTAGAGAGCCCCGCCCGGCCCCTCCCTCCAGACCAAAGGCCCCTTCCTCTGGCTTGTGGTTTCCACGCTGGCAGTCTCGCCTCTGGCCTAGAAAAGGGAGCAGGCTGGCACGTCCCCAGCAAAGGCCAGCTGCGACCAGAGAGTCTGTCTATGGTAGACACCTCCACCACTCAGCATCCAGCGACAAGCAGGGTTTAGGGCATTTATTTCTAGTGTGAGTCAATACTTTCCCTTCTGTTTTTCATGGAAGAAAGGTCCCTGTCCTGCTAGAACAGGCCAGAGACCCCGTGACGAGGGAGATGGCCTCACTTAGCACAGCTGGCCTGCCACAGCCACACCCCGCCCGGCCTGGGTCCAAGGCAGGCCCTCCTCCACCGCCAAGCACATCGAGGTACCAGCGCCCCGTCACCCCACACTGCCTTTCCCAGGGGCCTTAGTAGACGGGTCAAGCTTCTGCGTCATTACTGCAATCGGTCAAAACTCATAATGCAGCAAGCGCGGCCGCCAGGCACACTGTCGCGCTTTGCGAAACCACAGCCACTGAGAGTGACTCCATCATCTCACGTAATAAAAGCTAAGAGCTTTGATTTGCACTTCTACTCATTTACAGGCATTTAACCAAAAGTACTTCTTCTTCCGTGACACTTCTGTTAAAATTACAAGATGATTGGGTGCTGCTACAAGTATTAATGCTTAATAACAAAGTGGTACAAGAAAATCCACGACTCAGTCGGAGGGTACGGAAGCAGCCAGCAAGCCGCGTGGCGTGGCGTATGGGGTCTTCAGCGTAACAGGCAGCAACATACAGAACAGATAGCAAACGCAGGACAAATACAACAGATCTAAACGTAGCACGCCTTTATTCATTCACTCTTAATGAGAAAGGGAGCCTCTTTGGGCGAAGGCCAAAGTGTTTGATGTGAAGTTATTAACAAAAGGAGGCCACAAAGCAAAATATAAACTCTAGTACAACAAGAATAGAATGCTTTTTAAAACTGGGACACATTCGAAAACACCAAGATGACAAAAACGATGTATAAATGGTTCTAGTGTCTCACGGGTTTGCCGCCACCACCTTTGACGGAGTTGCATGTTTTTCGCCTACTTCCTTCTCTCATGCTAACATTTAAAACGATCTGTCTAAACCAGAGATCTCAACAGGTGAGATCAACATGTGGTCCTTTACGTTGGCTACAATCCAACGTGACCCCTCACATGTTGCTGTGGGTGCCACAGAGTAGAAAAGTTCCACGAGCAAACACATGCTTTCTGGGGACACGTGCAGACTTCCTCCCTATGCCCCCAGCCCCTGAGCATCTGTGAGCGTGGTCAGGGCAGAAGCTTAATCCTGGTGCTGGGGAACAGCCAGGCCAACAGAGTCACGATGTGGGTGTGGGCTGGAGACACCACCCAGCAGCGTCACACAACAGTGGCCATGCCCCAGTGACGGACAACTCCGGTACTACGCACAGTCTCTTAAGCTCTTCCCAAGCGCTATAAAAAGTATGCCAAAAATACAGGGATGGTGGGAACCCCCACACAAGGCTAAGTGACTGAGCACACTCGGCACTCAGGAAACATTTGCTAACGGGAAGTGTGCTGCAATTTCATTCTGATCCTGGATGCATTTGCAGAATGCTAACTCATCTGAGACGGAGACTATTGCTAAACAGGATCCCAGAGTGGTTCCAATGATTAGGTTGAATCAAATGAAAATGCCATTATTCAACCACTTTTTATATTTAAAAGATCCATTTCACCCTTACACACATCCTTATCTTTAGAGGAAGCGATTTGCCAACCCTGAAACGGGTCTATAAATTGTGCCGGGCGCCGCTCTGCAGTTTTGTCTACGCGGCGGGCGCTCCCCCAGGCCGGTGAGACGCGATCCCTACCTGGGAGAAAGAGCTCAGGCATCAGACGCCGCCAGTTCCTGCACACGGAACCGGACCCCCGTGGGAACATCACCACGACCCACCGAAATGTCTTCAGACACAGCACCCAGTACTGGAACTTCAGGCCCACGGTGACTCTGGCCGGCCTGAGAACCCGGGAAGACTCTCGCACACGGGTCTCCAGAACGGGCCAGAGCCAGAAACGCTTTGCTTCTTTCAACGCTGGCCGGAAGGCAGAACTGGATGCCGTGGACAGCGGCCATCGTGACTTCCCTCATGTTTCCGCCCCAGAAGGTTCAACAATGCTTCCAGTGTCTCCTCCTCCCCAACGTCCAGATCCTCCATTGTTCAGAGATCCCCGAGGGGCTCCTATGAGGAGCAACTGGAGCTGAACTTCCTGTTCCGCTGTGGCCTTTTGTCCCATCAGAGCGCCGCTGGGAAAGGTGTCTGAATGTCGATAGCAAATTAAATCTTAAAGTGCTGGGGGGTCCTGGGGACCATCCTGGCCCACGTGTTCATAAGGAAGGCTCCTGAGCGCCCAGAGAAAAGGCTACTTGCCCGAGGTCATCAAGCTCTGCAGGGTTTGGTCTGGGGCAGCTGCCTCAGTTTCCCCGGCTGACCCTGCTTTATGGGAAAAGCGAGGGAAACACAGTGCCCCATTCCTCGTCTACAGCCCACTTGCTGCTTGGGTCCAGGCTGTGACTCAGCTTGCCCCCCCTCCCCCCGGGCGGTCACCCATGGTGCCCCCTGAGGAACACTGGACCCTAAGTGTCTGTCTGCCTCCAGCAACCCAGGAAGCCAGGCCTGGGGCCCAAGGGTGGTGACAGTCACCTCAGTCCCTCAGCAGCAACGCCAGTCCCCCGAGGTCTGTCTGGGGGCCTGAGAAGGTGAGACAGAAAGGACACGTAGTAAATCTGCTCACAATTTTTGTTTGTTTGTTTTCGAAAGACGACATTACAATAGCTCACAGAGAAACTTTTTTTTTTAAAGCGAGGTAATGATCGATCCCATCCGATTGCTACTTCAAGACTTTGATATGATCCAGGTTTTGTGAAAGTGGCCAAATGGATGTTAAAACCACTAGACTCAGAACCCCAGCGGGTAAAGGACCGCATTTTATCAATCGATGTTCCCAACCTCTCTCCAAATGAGTGCGCCTGCAGCCCACGCCCACATTCCCAATCAACTCCCCCAGAAAAAAACCATCATATGTTCAAGACATCCTAGAGGTTGGTATCTAAAAAAAAAATCCAAGCTGATTAAAGAGGTGCCAGCATCAGCAGGCTGCTTCCTTTCCAAAGACGTCCATCTACCACTTTACGACTGACTTGGGGTGTCGTGAGCCTATTTCCCTAATTCATTTTTATTCTTTTTAATTAATACGTCGAGAAGTCCTAACACTATTTGCATTCTGACTTGAGTTTCCTTGTAGTATAATTTCCGTTGACTTATCTCTATAGCGGCAGCAGCAGCAGCAGCAAAAATCACTTTACACTGAACTATATTGCTTCAGAGTTAATTACATGTATTTTGCTTTTGATAAATGAAAATACCAGATGCAATTAATTGAAAGACAATCAATACGGTCCTGCTATTAGACATCCCAGTGAAACATCCAGAGGCTGTGGGCGACCCATAGTCATCAACTAATTGAAAACACATTCCAAAGGGGAGCTAAGAAAACTGAACTTTACCTGGAGATATTTTACAATCACTCACCAGTATAAATCTGTCCACAAACTCTATAGTTCACACGATGGGCTGTCCGTCTTTTTAAGGAAATACAGCTTCATTGGTTCAAAACCATTTAAGGTGATGAAACCCTGAAAGCAAAATGAATCGAGTCAGTGAAGTTGAAGCAATGATTTTTTTTTTTGTTTACATCTAGCCATCCTTTAATTGCATTTTTTCCAATGCCTTCGATTCTAAGCTACCAGAGGTTATTAAATGGTTTCATTAAAAATACTATTTGTCTTGCTTTAGTCACACACCAGATCAAATTAAACAGTAGAGCACCAGAACAAATGAACCCTTTCCATCTATTCTGACACAAAGCCAAGTGTGCAAAACCAGAAGGTGATATTGTGTCATCACCGTGAAAATGTCATTTAGCTTTCTCTACAGCTCCGAGAGGCAAGCAAAGGGACACAATAATCGATACCTTCAAGCAAAAAGTACTACCAACTGTTTGGAGAAATATGGAATTATAAAGTGCAATTCATAAGCCCATGGTTTATAAGTGCTATTAGCATAAATGCTGACAACTGTTAATCTACTGTAACTCTGATTAACGGCTGCAGTTGTCCATTAATAGAAGGCATTTTAACTTACTACTGAAATTGATTACTCAGTTAAGAATTCAATCCTAATGTTCAATAAAATTGCACTTTCTTGGCAAATGCAATATGAAATGAGGTGATGCATTAAACAGCACTCACATTTATTTTACTCTACACAGAATAAAGAGGAAATATATGGTACCATCCACGTCACCCGAACCACTTCCTAGAAACACAGAGCCGCGAGGAGGGCAGGCAGAAGTTACTCCTTCTGCGGCTGAGGGAGAAGGCACACACCTGGGCGACAGGCATGTCCAGGTGTCTTCTCTATGGTTAAGCCAGGAAGAAAAGATGGAATTCCAGCACTGGAGTTGCTATGCAACTGGCATGTCCATGGAGTAAGGGGGCCTTTCTCAGGCCCCAAGAGGAAGGAGAGGGGTGCGCCTTAGAGACCACTGCAGTTTCCTACCCGACCCGACCCGCCAGCCAGGATTCAAAAGGGTAGATGAATACACAGAGAGGCAGGAAATTACTGTAACCAGCTTCCCAGCCACACTCTAGTTTTCAAAACCATGCAAATCTTAGGAAGCTATAGAGTCCTAACACAGTTCTCTCCCTGTTTAATTAGCAGCAGGGCCCATCTCTTAGGACCCAATCCTGCGACAGGCGTTCTCTGGCACGATTACGTAGCATGTCATGAAGAACCACCGCACCTTCCAAGGCAGAGGTCCTCACACTTTTTAAACAGGGGGCCAGTTCACTGTCCCTCAGACTGTCGGAGGGCCGGACTATAGTTTTAAAAAAACTATGTTTCCTTAAACCTCGCTAAAAAATTTTAAAAAAGAGAGAGAGAAAAAAAATAAAATTAAAGAAAAAAAATATGAACAAATTCCTATGCACACGGCACATATCTTATTTTGAAGTAAAAAAACAAACGGGCAAAAACACCCGCATGTGGCTCGCAGGCCGCAGTTTGAGGACGCCTGCTCCAAGTCCTCCACTCCCCGTTCAAAAGAAGACCTGGCTCCTGAGTTCTCTCTACTCAATTGAACAAAGCAGAGCCTGAGTCCTCCCGAGGACCACCTCCTACTTCACAAGGAGAACCCAGTCAATGCCAGGACGGATTCTGAAGAATAACTACTCCAGAAAAGGGTGGTCAGGGTCGTAGTCAGGGCTACCACATGCCCAAGGTCAAGGAGTAATTCACTCCCAGCTGCACCCCCACTCCTCGTTGGAACACAAACCTTGCAATTTAAGGAAGTAGGAGTGAAGATGTAGACATCCCAGCCTCAAGCCTTTCAGCAGTCCCGAGCATCTACTACAGCCAAGAAACTATCCTTTGAAAGAGGCAGAGCTTGTCTGGCAAACTCCTATCCACCTTTAAAACCCATCTCCTTAGGTATCTTTTGTAGCACCTTCCCTGCTCTGGAAATCAGGCTGCTACAAACCCTGCCCACCTCCAAGTCTCTTAAATGTTAGACACTTTGATCACATTTTATTCATCTCGAACATAATAGGAATCAAATATTTAATTAACTGCGATACCGAACTTATATTCCCTGTCTGTCATTTGTGTCAGTAGGGCCATGGACTTCCTTTTTCTTTCTATTGCCAATGCTTTGCACAGCACACATGCGAATGTTTAAGGATATAATACACATGAAAACAGAGAATTATCGAAAAAAATAAGGAAACTGTATATGTCTTTAGGAAGCAGAACTCTTTGGAAAGGCAAGAAGGAAGGAAAAGAACTGGGGAGGTAGAACTCTGCAATGTCTGTCTATAACATCACTTCTTGTTTTTGAACCAAAGTCTAAAGACAAACACGGTAACATGTTACCATCTACCTAATCTTGGTGGTGGGTACAGAATCTTAATCTGAAGTACTTTATAGCAGAATGAATTAAACAGGGAACAGACAACTCCGCCTTATAGAAGGCCTCACAGAGGAGGTGACATTTCGTAGGATTTCGAGCTGGGAGCTTGGGAGAGCCTGCAGACTGTCCCAGTGAACAGTGACAGCTTATTTAGTAGATTAGGAACCTTAACAGGCTCGGAAGACTGTCAGAATCTTTAAAGCAAGTGCCCATTACTTGAAGGTCGAAAGAAGTGCTTAAAAAAGACTGGAGCTACAGAAAAGCTAAAAATTCAAAACTACTTGTTTCAGCAGATACTTGCTGACAGCGTGGCGTGGAATAGCGCCCCGAGGACACGCCAAGGGAAATTTTCTTGGCGGCATTTCTCTAAGAACTTCCAGGAGTACACAGTAAGACTCAGAAATGACTTATCTGATTAAAATCACCACCGTTCCTAAACCAGCAACCGCAGAAGCCAAAGCGGGCTCAGCGTGGAAACGGCAGTCAGCACGCCTGCCCCCTCCAAGTTCACCTGGCTGCTTCTGGCCAGAGAGAGGGGCCCTATTTTCGGCCTGTACCATCAGCCTGGGTGAATCTACTGAGCATCCCTTGGCAAGCGTGCTCCACCCACAGCTGACGACAAGGAGGGGTGCGAGTGCACACATCACAGGTGGGAACAGCCGTACCCCTGGAGCTGGAAAGAGCAGGAAACCTGGCCTGGCGCGTGGCTCACGCCTGTAATCCTAGCACTCTGGGAGGCTAAGGCGGGAGGATCCTTGGAGCTCAGAAGTTCGAGACCAGCCTGAGCAAGAGCGAGACCTCCGTCTCTACTAAAAGTAGAAAGAAATTAGCTGGACAACTAAAAATATATAGAAAAAATTAGCTGGGCATGGTAGCACATGCCTGTAGTCCCAGCTACTCAGGAGGCTGAGGCAGGAGGATTGCTTGAGCCCAGGAGTTTGAGGTTGCTGTGAGCTAGGCTGATGCCATGACACTCTAGCCCAGGCAACAGAATGAGACTCTGTCTCAAAAAAAAAAAAAAGACAGTAGGAACCAGGCTGCAGTCCACTAGTCCTTGTGTTTCCACCTACAGCAAACTTACAATTCAGGGCACATTGCCTGGAGGGCCCCTTCCACTTGGGTTTTCAGTCGGGCATATGAAAATTCAGGCTTATGAAAATTACATTTTAGGTCTACAGTGAACAAGTCTTACTTTTCTGAAACGGAATGAGACTGCACCTTGAAAAGCCTGCAAAGAGCTCTAGAGGCTCTGCCCTGGCTCGTGTCAGGAGGATGGGTCCTGTCTGTGCCTTGCACGGCATGGAAGGGGCAGCCCCTCCACCATCCAAACTGCAGAGGGAAGACAGGTGCTGGCAGCTCAGCCTGGGCTCCCGGCGCCAGCATCCCACCTGCTGTCAGCAACACTTACTGAACAAAGTGCCCACTCACCTGCACTGACTCTGCATGAATTATTTCTAACACAGCTTCTGCCATCCAAGGCTTCCTCGTGCCAGCTCTTGTCAGCACATGGGGACTTCCTGAACCCCACCGGGACACTCTGCTCCGGCTGACTGACCCCTGGGTGGTCTAGGCTTTGCAATATCCATCTACGTCCTGCTGCCACCCCTCCTAAGGCTGGCCCTGTGGCTGGGTCATGCTGGCTGGTGAGCAGAACCACAGCTCAGCATGGGCAGTTACCAGGAGAAAAAGAAAGGTCCTAACGGGGCCACCGTGCTCAGAGGTGGGAAGTCCCAGAGCTTGGGAAAGACTCATGAGCAACCTACTCCTGGCTCCCACAGGCCTGGCTGCACGTGGGGAGACCCCACAGCACGCTGTGTGCTTCACGGTTCCAGGGGGCCCAATAACATCTACTGCTTAAAACTGAGAACCAGAAAGTGTCCACAAAATCATCAAAAGCAATCACGTATCTGCGAGGGCTCGGGGCAAAGACAGGGTAAGAACAAACACCCAGTTGGCAACAATCACTCCACAGGTCAGGTGACCTCGCTGAGACAGCAAGGTGACACATCTACTGTCACAGGTGATCGGCCCTTTGAAATAGAGAAGCCATGGAAGGTTCATCCCAAGCGCTCATTAAATGCCAGTCCTCATAAGGCCCAATGCATGACTCCGCGTCTTCTAAGAAACCCATCTCTGCCCAAGTCGTGAGATAAATAGTTGGTATTTGGCACAAGAATCTAATACTCCTAACTCCTGTCAAGGTCATCAGAAGACAGGCTCCACAAGCAGTCCTCCCTCCAAATGTGGCCTCGCCCTCCCGGGGTGAGGCTGTGCTCAGGCAAGTTCAGAGGGACTGGAAGAACCATCCAGAGTTCTGCATTTCTGCCCCAAGTGAAGGGTATGTTACCAGGTCAACAACTGTGTACGTGGCGTCATGGGGGGGGGCAGCCTTCAACCCCAAAGTACCATCCCCCAGCCCACCACGAACACCTACCTAGGCTGCCTCAGACCCCGTCCTCTCTGGAATGGATGCATTACCAACCGTGACCTCAAACGGCTTTCGACAGGGATTTACTGAGCACCTAGTAAGTGCCAAGGACCACGCCTGCCCTGGAGACCCAGGAGCAGACAGGAACCTGGCCCCTGCCTTACTGCTGCTGTCCCAACCATGGGGAAACCGTGCCAGGGACACAAGTGCCACTCAAACCCTGGGCTCGAGTCTTCTCC